TACATCTATATAAAAATAAAAATCTTTTTGTATAAAGAGAAAATATTTAGATACGCCTCGATAATTCATAAAAAAAAGAAAAAATAGGAAATCGATTTCAGATAATCGTATCGCTTGACTTTCAGTGAAGCCGTTGTTAGTGAACATCACGAACAAGGATGCCCATTTGTCGGCCCTGAGAACATACGAAATCGAATGTGTCACTTCGGGCTCGAAGCCGAAGGCACAAATAACCTGGTGGAAAGGCAGCCATCCGGTGGAGCACATGGCCAGAAATGTGAGCATAGTTTTAAATTTGTTTTGAAATCTGCGGTCATCACGGAAGATTATCGAGCTGCGGCATGGAAGTGACCGCTAGCTTGGATTCTGAGTTCTTCGTAGTTTGTAGATAATTACGAGAACATTACGAGAAGTCAGTTGAGTTATGTGCCGACCATGGAGGACGACGGGAAATATTTGACATGTCGGGCCGAGAACTTGGTTGTACCTGATAGCGTGTTAGAAGACAAATGGCGTCTGCAAATCTATTGTAAGTATCGCGAAGTATTAATTCGGCACAATAATTTGCAGCGTTCGTTTCGTGTTCGTCCAGAATGAATTTGGGAGGATTTTGTTGCTTAAAAGCAATCGCGGTGTTTCTACTTTTAAATTTCCATTAAATGTCCGTTAATTTTACATCTTATAACTTTTCCACGGTTTCTTGAATAATCTGAAATTTCTACATTCTCATCGTCTTAAGTTTTTGTATAGTATTAATTTGAATAGCATTTTTACACGAATTTAAATGGGACCTAAAGCAGAATGACTGCTCGTAATATCGATACACTAAATTCTCTCCAATTGTCCGTCATTTTCTAAACAAGAATGGACAATTAGAGAAGAGGAGACACGACTATTTGAGTCTCGCGACTCATTTTTATAGTTGCCGATTGTGAACAACTATAAAAACGAAACGAGAGACTCCGTTCTCCTCTTCCCAAATTGTCCACTTTTGTTTACAAGCTGAGGGACAATTTGGTGAGAATTTATTGTACACAGTATTGTATATCAAATTATTTCGTAGACAAAGAAAGGATCTCTTAACCTTTTAGGCCCGACGCGCCACTATAGTGGCTTCCGCGGATGTCATCTTTCAGAACGACACGCCACTATAGTGGCTTTCGCGGATGTCATCTCTCTGGACGACGCGCCACTATAGTGGCTTGCTCTAGTATCTCACTCGCTCATCGTTTGAGCCAAATAATCGTCTTCATATGCATTGTCTCGCACTTCTTTTGTCTTCACATCGATTTACAACAGTCTACAGGGTGTTCCAAAAATGTCTCGCAATCCGGAAATGGCGGGTTCCTCGGATCATTTGAAGCAACTTTTTCCTTTACAAAAATTTTCTCCGAGGCACCGTTAACGAGTTATAAACGAAAAACCGTCACCAATAAGAATCGAGTACGGCTGACGCGAGGCGGCCCGGCTAACCTGCGCGCGAAGCCCAGTTCCGCTCATTGGCACGGTCGTCTCGCGCCAGCTGAGCTCGCCTCTCATTGGTCACTGTTTTTCGTTAATAACTCGTTAACGGTGCCTCGGAGAAAATTTTTGTAAAGGAAAAAGTTGCTTCAAATGGCCTGAGGAACGCGCCACTTTTGGATTGCGAGACATTTTTGGGACAACCTGTATATACAGTATCAGACTCTGCTGTCCAGAGAAATAGCCTCGCGCAGAATTCAGCCGTACCTAAAAGGTTAAAATTAAAATTTTATTGATTCTAGGTAAACTGATTATTTGAATTTCGTTTTGTTCGAGATTCGGCTGTTAAGAGTGCCCCGTTGTCTCATTGTCTACGATGTGCGATTAAATTATTGCTTGTAGATGCACCAATAGTGACAATCAAGCTAGGTTCGAGTTTAAGGGCGAACCATATAAACGAAGGCGACGATGTCTACTTCGAATGCGACGTTCAAGCAAATCCAGACGCCTATAAGCTGGCCTGGTTCAAGGACGGTAAAGAATTGCATCAGAACACGACAGCTGGAATTTTTCTTCCCAGCGGGCAATCTCTGGTTTTGCAACGCGTGACCAGAAATTCTGCCGGTGAATATTCCTGCATGGGAACCAATATCGAAGGCAAATCGACAAGCGGGCCTGTAAAACTCGAGATAATGTGTGAGTACTTAATATTAGAGGGTCTCCCTTTCATTACCAGAACAATGACTAAATAGAATCATGAAACATTAAGCTCCACAATTGGGTCCTTATGTATACAAACATTTTGAACTAAAATTTTGTTGTCATCATCGTCATTATTATTATTACTATTATTATTGCCATTATTATTACTATTATTATTGCCATTATCATTATCATTATTATTATCATTATTATTACTATTATTATTACCATTATTATTATTATTATTATTACTATTATTATTGCCATTATTATTATTATTACTACTACTATTATTATTGCCATTATTATTACTATTATTATTGTCATTATTATTATTATTATTGTCATTATTATTATTATTATTACCATTATTATTACTATTATTATTACTATTATTTTACCGTACTCTTTTTTTAAACAAACGGCAGACAACAAGTTACAAACGGTCGAGTCAGGCCTCGAGCTCTGGGTCCAAAAAGACTCGGAAAAAATCCGCCAGGGTTAACAAAACGAACATAAACGCTTTCAGATCTACTGAAATATATGATCAATGAAATATTTAGAAAAAGTATTCGATGTTCACAATAAGTTCATATCAACCTCTATTTTTGAGAATACACTACATTTGTATATTTGTAAAAAGAAATTACCAACATAATAATTTTTAAAATTTTCAAATGGATAGTGAAAGGATGTTTTTAAAAAATGAGAAGTGAAAATCGTTTTGAACTGAAGAATACTCAGATAGCGTGGCTTTATTTCAGAGTCAGTGGTCAGGAAATTAACTTGCTTCTAGATAGTCGTATTTCCCTCTCACTCTCCCAAATCAATATTCACGCTACGAAGGGTTAAGTTTGTCAGTATTAGGTTCATTTCTATTATTTTTCTTCTTATTAGTGATAGAATTTCGGGGCACTTTAAAGCAACGACATCTGATTTTTGTCAGTGTCTTTATTTTATGTTTCATAGTGACATTACCTTTTGCAATTGCACTATGTTTAACAAATCAATTTTCATCGGTCCATTCGTAACGAAAATGATTCAGTCTTATATGAAAAAAAGACATCGATGAACATGAAATTGCGAATAATGTGATTTTATGAAAAATGACTTATTAGTATACATGCTCATCCAAACCATTTTATTCTGACATATTATTTTATTATCAATTCCACTCGGAACCCTTTGCACTCGGACAAATTTCCACAAATCATCCACGGATAACTGCAACATATTTTATTCGTGCATTAATAGGGAGCGTTTCAAATAAAATACGAAATGATATAACCTTGAGAATATTCACTCCGTTTGTATAGAATTTGGTACAAAATTGCATCAGTACAGATTTTATGAAAGAAAATGCTTAATTTTGAAGCACCCTAATTGTCTCGTCTCCCGATAGAGTACGTCCAAGTGCGAAGGGATGAAAATGCTCAATTTAGGCGAGACACCCTGTATTCAACTCACCTAGGTCATAAAGTTATTACACTTTCGACGTACTTTTCTTCTCGATACACCAACTCTACAAACAGTAAAGCCTTCGAGTAGACAAAATTCGGCAGCCCGCATCCTCTCCGCTATCATTTATCATTTCCTCGGAACGAGGTGTCGAAGAAGTGCACCAGGGTTGACAGTCCCGGGCCGTTCCCTGTCACATTTTCAGACGCACCAATCTGCAAGGACGGCTCTTCCACTCAAGTGGTCGGCGCCCTGAAGCACGAGACAATCTCGCTGGTCTGCGGCGTGCAATCGAAACCGCCGCCATCGACTTTCCACTGGACGTTCAACAATTCCGGGGAGCTGATGAACGTGCCGGCCAATAGATTCACGCAGGTCAAGCCTCTGAGCCTGATCACGAGCCACTGGCACGGCTCCAGGCTGAATTACACGCCGGAGAACGACATGGACTATGGGACGGTCGCGTGCTGGGCCAAGAACCGTATAGGGGAGCAGAAGACGCCTTGTCTTTTTCAGATCATCGTGGCCGGGAAGCCGTATCCCCTTCAGAACTGCACGGCTCTACAGTCGACCGGACCCTACGCGTATCGAATGGGTAAGCGACACTCGACTCTCGCGCCACCCTGAAACACGTCCCCCTCTGTTCTGACCTAAATAGCGCTTAACTACACCATTACGGTCGGGGCTCATCATCGAGGATGACAGTTTACGGTCGATAGCCTTGTTGTGCTCAACAGCTTGTTTCCTATTGTGACCCGTGAAAAGCGAAGGTGACCAATCGTGCGTGAAAAAGGTCGTGAAATTAGGCGCGTTTCGTCCGACAGCTACCGAGACACCCTACGGGGCTCTTTCGTTACACGGGATACTGACACTCCGGCCAGTCCGACGTTCGAGATATCTGATACTCCAAGGGTCGGTCAGTCGTTCGCAGTGATGCGTTAAAAGTTAGGTTACTGTTTCCGATTTCGTTCCCCTCGATACGGAAACCCGTGCCGTGGATTCGGCATTGAACAAGATTTTTGCCAGTGCGGTGAAATGGCTGGACGTTTGATGAATTCGGCGACTTAGCGTATCCAAGGGTGCTAAACAATTTGCGAACGTGGGGACAGGTTCTTTGCGGTTAACTTTTGGAGTATGTCAACACGACTGTTTAAATGTGCGTATTTTTCTTCGTTCTTTAACACTGCGTTTAGATATTGATTCCATCATTTCCTATAAAAGAGTCTTTATATTAGGTATAATTTGTTGTTGATAATATTGCAAACTTTAACAGCTTATTATTTAACATTGGCTTAACCCTTTGCACTCCGCCGTCCCCTCTCGTGGGACATCGTAATTCTAGCATATCACTCGGATGACCCCTCTCGTGGGACATTAAAGTTTATTAGTGATTACGGGGAATTGAGTTATTTCAGCGCAACTTTTTCAGACATGCATGTTTCCCTGAAGTTTTCTCTTGAAATGGCACAAGAAATCAAATTAAAATATAGTAAAATTACTAAGATATATACAAGAAATGTCAGCGGGTTTTGACGAGAACGTGAGAGGCGTGCTCACGACGGTCCGAGCACTTCAAAGGCGCCACTTGAAAAGAGCGATAAGGCAAGTTTGTAGAAGAAAGGTCGGTATGCGAACATTGCACGCACTGTATAGTGAGATTTATAATCGTAAAATCTGGAGGAAAAGATTTTCAAAGCTGAACTCGGTCTGGTTTGAAGCGTCGAGCGGTATAGATAGACCTAACGAGTGAGAAAATCGGAAAAGTGATTCTTCTCTTGGTAAATAAATTGTTTGGTAAAAGTTTTTTTGGTAAATATCATCTTGTGAGTTAGTAATAACGATTAGAAATTTTCAACCTATGTATTTATTCATATTTTTTATTAGAACAATGGCAAAACGTTCAAACACGAATGAGTCTCATGACACAAGTAGTAGCGAAGATGAGCTCCAGATAGACGTTTATACAGATATGTTAGAAAGACTAACTGTGGAAGGTTTTCTTCTACAGTTAGTCTATCGTTTTGATAGCAGTGATAGCGATATCGTCCAAACAACAAGGCGACGAGAGAAAGAGTTCGCATAGATAGCGATTACAACAACAAAACAAAATTATAAAACAAACAATAACAAAATTATAAAAAATAAAATATTGATTTCTGTGCAAATTTCTCGATTTCAGCCAAATTCATATAAGTCCAATATCATTATAATATGTTAGTTAGTTCGAAAACCGTACTAAATAATACGAGGGTCTATAAATGCCCGTTTCTGCCGAAAAGTGGCGCTGAGTAGCTGGTAGCCAACGTCCAGAATGGTTCGGAGTGCTAAGGGTTAACACTGCGTTTAGATATTGATTCCATCATTTCCTATAAAAGAGTCTTTATATTAGGTTGACAAGGATGAAATTTGTTGTTGATAATATTGCAAACTTTAACAGCTTATTATTTAACATTGGCTTAATATTTTACTGTTCTGTTTTTTTGGTGGAAAATTACACATCTCGCGTGTTTAAAGAAATGATTGCAAGCTCTAAAAAACTATTGAAAACTCTTTTTAAAAATTAATTTTCTTGAAATGGAACGGTCGGAAATTCGCGCTATTACGAAGTTCTTACGTGGATCTACGGCATCGCGCGAAACATTAATAGTGTATTTGGCTCTAGCGTTACTAAGCAGCAGATAGTATCAAATTTCGTACAGGTAACTTTGACCTCACAAATGAGCCACGCGGTCGCCCATAATCAAAGTTTATCACACCTGTCTAGCGCAGGTGTGATCCATTATGATTTCACGATACCTGGCTCATCCCTCACAGTAGAAATATACTGCAACCGACTGGACGAAATGGTCAAGCAAAAGCTTAACGAAAAACAGCCTGGACTGGTCAACAGATCGACTCCTATCTTGTCGCATGATAACGCTGGACCACACACCGCACAAATGACTGTGGCAAAATTACAGGAATTCGAGTTGGAACTTCTTCATCGTCCTCCATACTCGCCAGACCTAGCCTCTGCTGACTACCATTTCTTCCACAATTCGGACAACTTTTTGATAGTGAAACAATTTAATCCCGACAATGCCGTAAAACTGACATTCCAGGAATTCATTGACTCCCGTCCGCCAGGGTTTTATACCACTGGCCTGAACAATCTGCCGCTTAAGTGGCAACAGTGTACAGACAATGCGGGTGCATACTTTGACGAATAAAATAATTCCTTATATTTGTAAGCTATCAAACAACTTTTGCCATCTTTTCTACAAATTTCATTCTTGACAATCTGATAATTTTAACATCTTTGAAATAAAAATATGCGGCGACGGTCACTTATGTTTGTAGCTTGACGATGAAATTAGGAGGGTGGGAAACAAATAAATATGGAAACAGGCTTTTTGCGATTAGCCTCCGAGTTCCGTTGATACAGCTGTTCGGAAGGGCGTACTGCCTTATTATCTATTTTCCGATATTAATGTCTCTCGACTAAAGTCGACTTAGGTGACTAAAGTTACCTAAAGGGTTACATATAGGGTTTACGCTTTTTATGCCCTATATAATTACCGCTGTTGAAAGAAGTTTTCTATTCTTTCTTCTTGCAGAAGTAGTATAAAGATTGCAAAGATCTTTATTGCCTCGTAAAAGAACGCACGAAATTGATATAAATGTGCTTCCTGCTGAAAATTGTGTTTTCATGGCTCAATAAAAGAGTTGATTCTCCATTTGAATAATGTATAGAAGCGAAAGGAATACATAAGTATAATAACTCCCACATTTTCATGGCTGGGAATACGTTTACATAAATAGAATATACGTAGCGTAAAAATATATTTTGAATATTAAAGTAGAATCGAAGATGTTTTGTTATACATACATACGTAGAGGTCAGTGTGTAACGATTCTGAGTCAATAACTATACTTGCAATGCTTGTACAGTTCAGCGTTCTCGATGTTATTCGATGCAACATTTGTTACATTTCTCTTGTAGACATGATATTACACGTGTTTATTGTTAATGTTTATCAAATAACGAAATTAATGATCCATTTTGTAAATGGGCGACACCATTATTACGTTGACGTATGACGTAATTTTCACTGTACTTAAACAAGATCGTGTATGAGGATAATAATTACACGTAAATATTACATAGCTCTCTCTCTCTCTCTCTCTCTCTCTCTCTCTCTCTCTCTCTCTCTCTCTCTCTCTCTCTCTCTCTCTCTCTCTCTCTCTCTCTCTCTCTCTCTCTCTCTCTCTCTCTCTCTCTCTCTCTCTCTCTCTCTCTCTCTCTCTCTCTCTCTCTCTCTCTCTCTCTCTCTCTCTCTCTCTCTCTCTCTCTCTCTCTCTCTCTCTCTCTCTCTCTCTCTCTCTCTCTCTCTCTCTCTCTCTCTCTAATTTGTTTCGCAACCGGAGTATAATAGCAATGTTGATTTCACGAAACGGCCAATGTCTACTATTACAGTCAACAGTTCGATTGAAATTATGTATTATTTCAAAATTATTAAATCATCACGCACGTATTTACCACTAAATCGATTAATCAACGAAGGAAATTGTGACCGCTGATTTACTTTTGTAGGGAGCAGAATTCTATTTCCTCAACAAATTCTGCAATTGTTATTAATATTCCAGGAACAAAGTGTCGCGTTCGAAGCAAACAAATACAAAGTGATTAATTCTAGAGAAAAGAGAGATATTACGAACTTGTTTTCCTCTGAAAAAATTAGCCGTTCAACACCTTCTAAGAAATAAAAATTATTTGACTTTCAAAAATAGTTTTGACATTCTTCGAAACAATTTTCCAACAATCGCTCTTTGTAAATCGTGAACATTTAATTAGAAACGGCAGAAATGGATTAATTAATTAATTAATAAACCTGTGTAACATGTTTGAAATAAAAAGTCTGGCGCAATAATAATTCTCTGAAAAAACGACGAATTCTTCGCGATACGATCTAATCTTTTTATCATTTCTTTGTGCGTGACAGGTCACGAGGATTTTAAGGCCACCGACTCCCGGGACGCTGATTGGTTGATCGTCCGATGCTTTGAGGGATTTGACGGCGGTTTGCCTTTAACTAATTACGAACTGGAGGTCTACAGTGAAGAGAACGTTTATCATGTCAATACCTTTTACTTGAATCACACAGAGAAATCCAGTTCATTAGGTCCGGTTTTCGAAGTTCCCGGCCTAGAGCCTGGACGCAACTACCGACTTCATCTCTACGCTGTCAACGCTAAGGGCCGCAGCGATCCTGTCGTTCTCGAACCAGTCACGCTCAAAGGAGTCGCCATGTACACCACAAACGGTGAGCGTTCCATCGATCATAAAGCACAAATCCTTTCTCTTGCATGAATCTTCTTCCTCGTAAATACGTTCGACCGATCGAATAATCACGATTAGGCTACGTATTTCTACGTATTCTCGCTACGTTTCTAAGATCAATTGTTCTCCCTTAACTAAAATGTTCCCTCGCCGACGGACCTCCGCGAATTAATTCACGAGAGTGAGGAATTTGCATGGCGATCCGCGCGGCATAATTACCGAAAGAATCGATTTACATCGTAATCGATGCAGAAAATCAATTCGTTTTTAAAACGCGTTTGCGGCCGCGAAACGTGCGAACCTGCCTCGCCGATAATTTATGGGTGGACGCGCGTGTTTAATTACACGGCATTTCGTGATCGGCGAAACGACACGCAGCATCGCGGGAGGAAAGGAGAGCACTTTTTTTCCCCGCGGGGGCGTCGAAAGGCACGATTATGCGCATCCAGCAGACTAACTTCAGGATCTCTTTCACCGAACAGCCCCTTCTTTTATACGATACGTTTCTTCGTATCCTTCTTCCGCGGACCCTGAATTAAAATCCCATAAAGAGCGGGTCCCTTTCCTCGCTGCTGTCTCATTCGAGGCGCATTTATCGCCTTTAATTTCCATCCTCATGGTTTATTCATGCCGATCCGTGGACTGATCCCCCGCTGTGTGTGGAAACGCTTGCGTACGAATGCCCGGACTCTGTCTCTGTGGATGTGTCCGAGCACGTCCGCGACGCGAGCTCATCTTGGATCTCAGTTGCACGCGTTTCCCCGGGTAGCTGCTACCCGGACTACCCTTCCCACCCACCCCGGACTACCTACAGTCCCATTCAAACTTCTCAAAATCCTTTCAAAATCGTTTTAACTGGATTGCACGCCCCTGTCATTTTCCACTGCTTACGATTGTAACGCCGCGAGCCGGCCGGCTCGATAAGATCCTCCTTTTAAAAAACGTTATCCAGCATAATATACATCAATTCCACGGAATTATCGGGCGCGGAGGTTCATTCGGTAATAAAATTTACGACTGTAATGCGTCAGGTTGCCGATCGCTTAGGACAGGGGTGTCAAATGTACTTAATACTTATAATGTCCTATAATGTACTTATAATGTACTTGGTACTCTTAGTACATTGTAATAAACATATATAAAGTTAAATTATTGTTTACGTCCTGATACTTGACATGAAAAATGTTCATCTCGGGCCGCGAGTTTGACACCCCCGGCTTAGGATCTCCTGGCTTTAAAAATATTATTCGGTCTAAAGTACATCGTTCCGCTAAATTGTTGGATCTAGGAATTAGTTGACCTCTGATATTTCGCATTATTTTAACTGCACTAGTTTTATGAGAACTATTCTAGAATATTAACGCGTGAAGTATTACGATTCAATATTGATTTTCCGCGTATTTGATACACGCGGTTCCCGACGATTTTTTAAGATGGTAGGGATAATATAAGCTGTCTTTCCTTTTTTTTTATATCTTTAACCCTTAGCAATCCGCACCATTCTGAACGTTGACTAGCAGCTACACGGCGCCACTTTTCGGCAGAAACGGGGATTTACAGACCCTCGAATTATTTAGTATAGTTTTGGAACTAACTAACATGTTATAATGATATTAGACTTATATGAATTTGGCTGAAACCGAGAAATTTGCAAAAAAATCAATATTTTATTTTTTATAATTTTGTTATTGTTTGTTTTATAATTTTGTTTTGTTGTTGTAATCGCTATCTATGCGAACTCTTTCTCTCGTCGCCCTGTTGTTTGGACGATATCACTATCACTGCTATCAAAACGATAGATTAACTGTAGAAGAAAACCTTCTACAGTTAGCCTTTCTAACATATCTGTATAAACGTCTATCTGGAGCTCATCTTC